TCTTGCATTTATCTTCCTTTTTCTATTTTTTGTATCCTGATCATCGTCTTCCCACAGTCCCTCATAGCTCGCAGCCGGGGGAAATTTTTGTTTCTTCATCAACAGAAGGAGGCCTGGGACCGCCTCGTCGAGGAGGCATGGCTACGTTGGGAGGTAATAGCTCAGCTTATCACTACCCAGTAGAGGATGGCCGAGCTGACTCCCCTCGCTGAGGAGGCGAACAATCTTCGGTCGTGGGTGGCCAAGGCCATCGGGATGCTGACGAGGCCAAGAAGGCATTCGAGGCCCTGTCGGTGAGGTCACAAAAGGACGATGAGGAAGCTGCCAGGGTCAGGAAGGAGCAAGATGAGTTGCTCCAAAAGGACGTCGAGACATGCCAGCGGATCCTTAACCTTCTGGCCAAGGTTGAGAAGGAAAGGGAATTGAAGTTGGGGGCCGAGGAGAAGCTCGTGGCCCTGGAGAAGAGGGCGAGCCTAGATACCGTGGCGGTCACTCGGCTACGCAAGGAGCAGGATGAACTGCTCCAAACCACGGAGAGGCTCCACACGAAACGTGGCGTGGCTTGCGAGGAGCGTGACCAGGCTTTCCGAAGGTGTGACCAGGCTTGCCAAGAGCGAGACGATGCATAGCAGAAGGTCGGCTTACTCCAGGCCAAGCTCGAAAGCACGATGACCCAGAAGCTGGAGGCTGAGAGCGTTTCTGCCGAGCTGGCTGTGGACCTCGCCGAGGTGAGAAGGAATCTTTAGGCGGAGAGTGATGCGCTCGGTATCCTGAGCACTGCCCTCGGAGTGGTCTGCGACGACCTTTAGGTGGTACGGTCGGAGGGGACCAGCTCGCTCGCGGCTCGTGCCGTTGAGATCATGGCTCGGGTGCGCCAGCTCGAGAGGAGTGCCCTTCGTGCTAAGGTCAATCAGTCCTTCGTGATTGCTCGTTCTCATTATGGGGACAACATCGATCTGGAGACGATGAGCCACGGCTATCGCGCCTGGCTATGAAGCCCACGAGCCGGAGGAGATGGAAGCGGTGATGGCTCCCCTTTCGTAGGACCTAGCGGACATGATAGAGGATGTAGTTCTCCCTCGGAGGGGCTAGTTAGTTAGATAGGTCGGACAATCATCTTTGTAATAAGCGAACAAGTTCCGGCCCTTCTATATCTTTTAAACAAACTTGTCATTTCGTTTGATCAAATCTGTTCTTTTGTTTCAGCGTGAATGAATTTGTTTTTCCTCCCTTTTTATGTGTGAAAAGGGGTTAATGCGTTCCGACCCTTCCATTCGTTAAGACCGTAGAGTTCGAGGTGTAGGAGGGAAACTCTGATCATGCTAGTAAGCAAGAATGCCGTAGCCGCTAGGGCGTAGGTTTCTTGCAGTCCGACCAGCTTTACTCAATCGTTTGTTTCCGCAAACCTTGCCACTAGGTTTAACGTGAGGAAGGGGTCGGGCACGACGACTATTTCAGAAAAGAGTGTATATATACCCTTACCAGCCCCCGAGTGAGACCCGACCCCTTGCCGTTGCTGGGGTCGGGTGTCACTGAAGATCGAGGAGAGCATAGCGAAACTAGTAGGAGAAAGCGTCTCTTGTTTTATAAACGTTATTCTTAGTTTTCGCACGTACCCCCTCCCTAGGATCTGAGCCAGCGCTCTGTGACCGCGTATTCGGTCTCCTTGCGAGTCCAACTTTTCTCGAGTCCCCGTGTGTAGCGGGGGCCGGTCGAGGGTCAGCTCATCTTTGTGGTCGTTACCCTATCCGTGGTTTCCGCAACCGAAGGGGTTGAGCTAACGTCACTTGCCTCGATGGCTCGAGTGACGCGCTCGGTGAGCTTGCTAACAGGCATATTCGAGTGGAATTCGGGTCCGTCATTCATGATGGGGTCGGCATAGCCCTCATGTGGCAGTCCACTGCTCCTTAACCCACCTCCCGGTAGATGTCCGAGTCATTTCGGAGACCGACTCAGGTGGCCCGCTGGCCTCTCCTCGATAGAGATTCTATGGGCTTGGCTCGAGGTTAGAATCAAATGGGAAGGTCGAGATGACACTGTCCGCTTCTGAGTAGGTCAAGCAAAGGCCGCTGGGGCTCATCTATGTTTTCTCCCCTAGCTCTGTTCGACGCGAGGCGGCCTCGAGCCCTTCATGGGCCGGCCTTCGAACCCCAGTCAGTTGGATTCCCAAGTTAGGGTCAGGCGGCTCGAGCCCCCGAGCCCCTTGGTAGGGGTCGACCGAATTTCATGCGTCACCCTATCCGCGGTTTCCACAACCGGAGGGGCTGAGTTAACGACACTTGCCTCGATGGCTCGAGTGTCGCGCTCGGCGAGCTCGCTAATGGGCATGTCCGAGTGGAATCCGGGTCCGTCATTCGCTGACGGGGTCGGCATAGCTCTCATGTGGCATTCCACTACTCCTCAACCTGTCTCCCGGCAGATGCCTGAGTCATTCTAGAGACCGACTCAGGTGGCCAGCTGGCCTCTCCTTGATGGAGATTCTATGGGCTCGGCTCGAGGTTAGGATCGAACGAGAAAGTCGAGATGTCCCTGTCCGTTCTGAGCAGGGTCGGGCAAAGGCCACTGGGGCTCATCTACGTTTTTCTCCCTTGGCTCTGTTTGACGCGAGGCGGCCTTGAGCCCTTCGCGGGCCGGCCTTCGAACCTCGGTCGGTTGCCGCTCATATCGAATGAGACGACTACTGCTTCGTGACGCGACGCGAAGTGTTGTGATGCAGCAATTGCATACGCAATGCTTGGATGTATGGGATGAATATATGGATAAATGTATGAATGAATGCATGGGAATGGATGAATGAATGATCATGCACTGGAAAGTAGAAGCGGGGGGTTGGTAAAGTTACCTCGATGGCTCGAGTGATGGGTTCAGGGAGCTCTTACCGGATACGTTCGAGTGAAATTCGGGTCCATCGTTCATGACGGAGTCGGTCTAACCCACGCGGGGCATCCTGCTGCTCCCTACCCGTCTCTTGGCAGCGGCTCGAGCCGTCCGATCAACTTTGGGTGACCTGCCGGCCTCTCCTCGATGGAGATTCTATAGGTGGGCCCCTCCAAACCATTCCTGGGAAGGTGGAGGCTAAACCTCGAAGTGCGGGTAGAAAAACTCTGATCACGCTGGTGAGCGAAAATATCGTAGCCGCTGGGGCATAGGTTTATTGCGGTCCGACCAGTTTTACTCAGAGTTTGTTTCCGCACATCTTGCCTCTAGTTTTTAACGCGAGGAGGGGTCGGACATAGAGAATGTCTACCGAAATAGACACTCTTGCCGGCCCTCGAGTGAGGCCCAACCCTTGCCGTTGCTGGGGTCGGGGGCTCGATAGCGAAATTAATAAGAGAAAATGTGCGTAGATTAAGGGTGACCCGTCTCTCGGCAGCGGCTTTGAGCCGTCCGATCGTCTTGGGTGACCCACTGGCACATGATTTACTTGGATGGCTCGAGCGATGGGTTCGGGGAGCTCTTACCGGATATGTCCGAACGGAACCGGGGTCCGTTGTTCGTAACGGGGTCGGCATAGCCCTCATGTGGTATTCCACTGCTCCCTGATCGTCTCTCGGCAGCAGCCCGAGCCATTCGATCGCCTTGGGTGGCCCGCTGGCATAGGGCTTTCCTGCGGAAATAGAGGATGAGATCATCCCCAAGAAATTAGTTAGGCAGATAAGCTAGACGACGAACTTGTAATAAATGGACAAGCTCTTAAATTTTGTTATAGCCAAACAACTTTTTAGCCCTTCTCCCATTTTCGTATAAAAATGTTAGTGTGTTCCGACCCCTTCCGTCGTTAAAGCCGTAAAGCCCGGGGTGCGGGTGAACAAACTCTGATCACGCTGGTGAGCAAAGACGCCGTAGCCGCTGGGGCGTAGATTTCTCGTAGTCCGACCAGTTTTACTCAGCGTTTGTTTCCGCAACCCTTACTTTCAGGTCTCAACGTGAGAGAGGGTCAGGCACAGAGAACGTTTGTCAGGTGGATATACTCCTAAACACGTACCGACTCTTTCCGTAGCTAAGGCCAAAAAAACCCAGGGTGTGGGAAAACATCTGATCACGCTGGTGAGCAAAGACGCCGTAGGTTTCTCGCAGTCCGACCAATTTTACTCAGCATTCGTTTCCGCAAACCTCGCTTCTGGGTCTTAACGTGAGAAAGGGTCAGGCGTAGAGAATGTCTACCGAATAGATATGCTCTTATTAGCCTTCGAGTGAGGCCCGACCCCCTGCCGTTGCTGGGGTCGGGTGTAACTAAAGATCAGGGAGTCGATAGTGAAACTGATAAGAGAAAGTGTGCGTATATTAAGAGTAAAAACGGCGTAGTTGTTCGATGTTCCAGGCATTGACGAAAACTTCGCCGTCGATGGTGGTGAGCTTTAGGAGCCGCTTGGTTCCATCGTCAGCACTGTGATGCCTTGCTGAGCGAGGCTAGCAAACCAGCAGATGTGTTTGGTTTTCCCATCTGAATGCTTCGTAGATTGTGTGGGCGAGATTTCTCTCGCTGGCGAGGCAGAGCCAATACGGCTCGCTCGTCTGGGCGAGCACCTAGTCGACCGTGCGAGCACAGCAGGCTAGGCGAGGCAATACCTCGCTGGAACCAAGCAGCCCCTTTCTTTCTCCAGTTGCCCCCGCGTTGGGTCTTGGTGCTCTCCCGTGTCCCTCGCATGCTCTCTCTGTCTCTAGTGGCGACGACTCGCCGCCGCCGCCATACGCCAGCCCCCCAGGTCGCCATTTCCGGGCCCTTGCCGACGACGAGCACTCACCAGGTATGTCCACCCCATCTCTTCCGTTCCTGCTGTGCGAAACCGAGCACCCAGACCCTAGCTTAAGCTATTTGTATTCCGATCTGATCTGATCCAATTAAATGTGTAGTATACATGTCTACAAACTTCGTTTTTTTGCAAAAAAATTGATTGGATATACATGTGTACACCCGTCCTTTGTTTTTTTGGTAACATACACCCGTGTCCTTTACTGAGTCTCTGCCCCTGCAAGCAGTGCCTCGGGTGGGCTCTGAAATGGACGAAGCTGCAGATTCCTCCGAACTGCTTCGTCGCGTCGAGGAGCTCCAGCGCGGTAATCTCCAGCCTTTGGTGTTATTATTTGTCTGTTCTAGCTTCCCTTTGTGCTATGGTGTTATCAGTTCTTCGTTCTTACCTCGTGGTGGGTGTTTGTCCTAAGACTGGACCACTCTGTCTCATGTGATCAATCCAAAATTCTTTCCAAGTAGAGCGCACTGTTGATCACAGGTTTACCGGAGGTCATTGTGGGTAGCTGCCAACTAAATTGATCCCATCAGTGAAAAGGAATTGCATTTCCATAGCGCAGAAAGTAGGCTGTACTGAAGCAGTAGTGCAAATGGGCACATGAAAGGTTATCGTGCAAAATATCAAAATTATTGAGGACTTTGTGTGCCACCTTGCTGCATGTAGGTTAAGGACATTTATTGTGTGTTTGTTGCTTATTATGGTTGGGGAGCTCTGTTTGTATGTGAGAACTGAAAGCACAAGTTGGAGTTGGGCTACAAAATAAATGATGCAAATATTGAGGCTTGGCAAAATCCATGTCAGGATATTATTTAAGATCTTATTCGGCATGACTCTTGCATGCAACTGTTTATAACTTTGATTCCTGAATGAGTGTTAACATTTGTGGTTTAGACTCAATTCCTCCCTCCCACAATTTAAATAGTCATTATAGAAGGATTACTGCAAATATATTCCCATGTCTCATATCACCATGAAGTACTTCGTTAGTTCCCTGCCTTAAATTCTGCTTCTGCTGTTGCCTTTTGTCAGGGAACAAAAATTGTTGAGCGAATTGAACTAGCAAATTTTCTTTAATTTCCAATGTTCCCTACTGTCCAACTGTTAGTTGCCTCTTGCATCACTTAACTGACATATCTGATCCATTTTCCAGAAAAAAAATATTACATTGAAGTTTTTTTTTGGGCAATGGCATGTGATTTCGTTTCTGTTTTGAGTACATTTATTTGATTGTGTTATACTTGCTACAATGAGACCCATGTAATTGAATTATCTTTATGATTCTAAACAGAAAAGGATGAAAAACAGAATTCTTTGGAAGTATTGTTACGACGGGTTGAAGGGCTACAATATGGTAATTCCAAATTCCACTTCAGATTAATGATTTTGATCAACCTTCTCTGAAATACTTCATCCATTAGAATATGTCTTGTTCAAGTGGCAAAAGGTAATTTGTTGACTGCAGGAAATATGAAGTTGTTTAAAGTGCAGGTTTACTTATATTTTCAACAGACTTTTGTCTATATGATGATTTGAACTGCTATAATACCTTACAACAATAGTTTTTTCTCGAACATACCTTATGATGGTTTAATTTAATACTTCCTGTTGTTCCAAATATAGTTCACCTTTTTTTTGAATGAAATTATAGTTCGCTTTGGCTTTGTCCTAAGTCAAACTTCTTCAGCTTTGACCAAGTTCATAGAAAATGCATCGGCATTTAGAACATCAAATTAGTTCCATTAAATTTTCTATGAAATCTGTTTCGATGGAGCGTTTATTTGAATTTGTAGATGTTGATATATTTTTCATTTTTTCTGAAAACTTGGTCAAAGTTAGAGAAGTTTGACTTAAGACAAAGCTAAATGAACTATAATTTGGAATGGAGGGAGTAGGATAGAACATGTTCTATGACTCCTTTTTCTTAAGCCTAAGGTTCTTACTTCGGAGTCTTGGTCATAATGAATTTATTTTTCCTCTTTGAAGCTGTTCTTGGGGCTTAGCTAGTCATTTCTGTTCAATTTTTCATCTGCACTCTCTGGCCTTTTCCCTGTTAGAATAATATATGGTCTGAAGCTCCACTTTCCTAGTCATATGCTTCTAGTACCATTTCTCGTCATGGGATCATCCGATCATGCCCTCAGAAGCCATTTTCTCCACAGGAACCAAATATTTTTCTACCGTACCTTCTCAGGATATGCTAAAAATCTAAGTGCCCTTGCTAGTCTACTATGTTTGTGCTTTGTGGGCTAGTTTGATTTTTTTTAAGGAAGACTGGTAACTGGTTATGTTGTTGAATCAAATAATTGTGTAATGACCTCAACATGCTTCTATTTCTAATAAAGTTGCTATTAAGTTTTTCAGTAATTATGATATCAAAATGCTTTTGGTCATTCAAGAAAAATTGCACCCCTTTTCTCTGTTCTGTAGAGATGGATGAAAAAGTAGATCTTGTTGAAGTGTTAACTCGTCGAGTTGAAGATCTCCAGCGAGGTAAGACTCACATCACATCTGTGCACTGTGCTACACAACACAAGATTGACATCTGTACTTATTTCGCTAATCAATGCCATCATATACCATACTGCTTTTTTGTGATGTTTATTAATGCAGCTCTCTGTGGATCAACTCTTCATCCTGTAGATTAGTTTCAGTACTTTTTTTTCTTGTTGAAGCAGTTCGATTGAGCTGCCTCATTTAATATATAGGAAGACGTAGTATAACTATGCAACCTATTTAATATGAAAAAAATGCAGATAGTCAACTGGAATTCCTTTGCTTCTATAAAACGAGAAATTATGCCCTCTGACATATCTAAGTACTCCTAGATGAGGTCTTAGGAGCGCACACTGAGATTAATCACTTAACTTATTTTATTACTGAGAAATTCAAGAGTTACTTGGTTATGTATGCTCGTATGATGCAATTTCTGAAAAAGCCTGAAAGAGCTGCCCAAGTCCTTGGTTCATTCCATTATTTTTGTTTCCAAATTCCAACACGTATAAGTATGACGTTTTGAGAAAACTGCTGATCTTTTGGATAGCGTATTCTCTCATTTTTTCTGGATGGACTCACATTTATTTCTGGAGGCAGTAGTTGTTTAAGAGCTTTTTTGTTTAATGATTTTATCATCGTATATGTATATGTTCTTGTGGCACAGGGTGTGCTGATAGATACTTTGTTTGCAGAGCGTGATGCGCTCAGAAAAGATATTGAGCAATTATGTATGCAACAAGCCGGGCCTGGTTATGTTTCTGTTGCAACTCGAATGCTTACTCAGAGGTGCTTCCATATCTAATTTAATCTTTCATTTTTATTCACTGTGCAAACAAAGCAATATTTTTGTTGTAACTATTCAGGACAACAGCTTTGGAACAGGATATTGAGAACCTCCAGAAAAAGTTAGGGGGTTGCTTAAGAGAGAATCAAAATTTGCAAGAGGAGCTTGCTGAAGCTTATCGAATTAAGGTGTGCTACTTCTTTCTCCCTACTGTTATTTATAGCAGCTTTATTTTTCTGTTTTCTCATTCTTTCATTTACTTAAATTTCAGAGCCAACTTGCTGAGTTACATGGTGCTGCACTATCAAAGGTTTCTTACTTTGACTTAAAATATGTGGCTATTTTATTTAATAAACTGTAGCTTTTAGCAGTAATGAACATTGCTAAGGGATGTGTGCTGATTTTGTTCTTCTCCTCTATCTTTATATATAGGCAAAGAGTTATTAGATGAAATTTGTTTAGTGAGTAGGTCATCCCAGCAGAATGCCATTTTCCATCCTGATCTTGGGCAGTACTCCTTACTGGACATTGCTTGCTGAACACTACTCAATTTCTTCATCGCTGATGAGGCAAGAAGCAGAAGCGACAAGTGATACTCTGTATTAGATGTATTCAATGTAAAAAATGCAACTGTAATGAGTCTGGACTGCTAGTGGATAGGATATGCTTATGCTTGAACCTGCCTGGGGTTGCAAGGCCTTAAAGGTGCAGGCAGGGCGATGGATTAGAAGTTAGAAGTGTTTGATTCAGGGAATGAAGCCAACTAAGAGTAAATACTGTTAGATAAAGAATTTGTGTAGGGGAGATATTTGTTAGAGCAGAAGGTAATGTGGAAATACGAAGAACGTAAATGAAATGCTTGTCCTTGTCCAAAATCTACTGATTGGAAATTGAAGTCAAATTGCAAATTTCAGCAGTGTAGTCATGCTCACTCGTGCTTGGTCTTATTTTGTGAAGGAAACCTTTGAGGCATGTCTTCTCTACAAGTCGGCACAAGTGTGACATGAACTGTAGTGCAAGATAGCAAAATCATCGTTTTCTTGTGTAGAAATTGATACTTTGTTGTGGAGTAGGCGAGTAGCAAACTAGCAATTAAAAAGGGTTATGCATTCTCTTGAGATTCCTTGCATATATGTATATTCTTGTTATTGATATGGCCTTTCTTGTAATAACAATGCAGAACAAGGATCTAGAAAAGCAAGTAAGATTTTTCCAGAGCAGTGTTGCTCAAGCGTTTGCTGAACGGGACAGTTCATTAATGGAGGTTCTTTTTAGTTTACTTAATAAGTTAATTCTGTACCTAAATACAAATGCTGCGAGCATGATTTTGTTTTTCTGCTGGAATTTGGGAATCACATATTATTCTGTTTATCTAGTGTGAGAAAGCAAAAGAGCGGGAGGAAGCAGTGTCAAGAAAGTTTGCTGATTTTGAGGAAAGGTATGTTGCATAACTGTTACTTATTACTTATATATATGTGATTTGTTTCTATAACTGTGACATGGACTAAAGGACCTTACATACTGTATTAGTGAACTTATAAGATGACAATGTTTTGATCTTTTATTTCAACGATGAGTTCTCTGGTGGATGAATGTACCAGTGAGGTTTTAGTGGCTATATATGAGTACATATATCTTGATTTTATGGTCTTAATTGTTGGTACGCACAAACCACCCGAAACTCTATTGAAAAGAACATATAACAGGGTGTTTTGATTTTTTTAACCCGAAACGTGATGTTTTATTTTCTCTCTCTTTTATGAGCATTTAACATTCAGAAAATGATGATGGAATTGTAACATGAATACATGATGTTTTTAAATTCCATTCTTGTTTGTCTTGTACTTGCCACTTACAGTTCTTTTAGATAAGGGCACAAAATATCATGATGCTTACTGATTGACAGGATGAGAGAATATCAATCAGCGATTGATGAACAGAAACACTTAAATGATGACTTGCAGAGGGAACTGACAGAGCTGAAGGCGCATACAGAATTGTCCTTGAAAGTAAGTAACTTTTGTTGATTGCCAATATGAATAGTTGGAATTTGTGTAATAAGTGGATGCCCGCACCCCAGGACGCCAAAACATTAATATTGATAATTTGGTATCTTTATGAAAACTGCTACATTTCTGTATCCACACTGTATGTGTTTGACATGTCTTGGTTGAACCTAGGATTCAAATAGTTCTTTCTTTTCTTCTTCCCAGCACTCTAGGTTGTGAACTGGTTGGACCTAGAAGGACTACTCTACTCTGTGCAATAGTGATCTTAATGAACTCCCAAGTATATAAGAATGTCCTTTTTTTGAAAATAAATAAGAATGTCCTTTACCTATGTATTTCGTCTACATAGTTGTTTATTGTCTGTTATATATTCCTTACAGCCTGTTGTAATAATTTTCTGACTTGTACCTATTTTCGACCTTTTTCCAGTCAGAAGCTGATATTTGATTCTCTTTCAGGTTATTCTAAAATTCTATGACCTTCGCTGCAGAGACTCTGAATGTTCTTCAAGCGTTACTTTTGAAGAGAAGTGTTCAATCCTTCTAGATGATTCTGCTGACAATTGGAGTTTTTGCTCTGATGGCGGAACCTCAACTTTGAAGTACATTGTAAACCTTAAGCCCTTATCCATTATAAAGAATAATTCATATTTAGTTTCTTTCATTTGTCTTGCAAGATACAAATTATCTGTGGCACTAAACATCATCTGGGGCAGAGCCAGAAAATTATAGATATGGGGAACAAATGCTAAAAGATAAATTATTAGAAGGCAAAATCAACATTTTTCATTGAATTTCATGTGCATAAGAGGAATTCATCTATCATAAGGGGGTGCTTGCCCCTCCCTCCTTCCGCCCCTGAACATCTTAATGCTGTTGGCTTGTTGCTCAGTTTTATTCTGGGAACTAAAGGAATGCGGAAGATAGGAAATGATGAAACTTTGGTGGCATCTGTTTCAGGACTTTTGCAGTTATGCTTTGATTCCCAGTTTCTCATGCAACATACTGCTCCATACATGGATAGAAAACATCCGTGTTATTGATGGAACTCATAAATTTAGTGCTAATCTTCTCATTTGTCCTATTCAGCTATCATCATGTCATGTCCTAATTGAACTAATTGTGCCATGTACTTGAATAGTACAACATGACTTGCAGACCCTAATTTGTTCTCAAGAACTGCTTTAATGGTGCATTTAAAGTGTCCACGAGTTACTGTTTATTGAAATTTTTTCCAGTTGATCTGGACCTAAACCAAAGTGCTTTGAATAATGGCATCTTGCTACTGATTGTTTTGCATCAGAGATTTTTCCTTCAATGTATTTGACATTTTTTGTAGGCATCTTTAGAAGAGGAGAAAGAGTCACTTAAAGCTAAAATATCAAAGCTGCAAAGCAACTTAAGGATGGTAAGATAAGCTTGGAAATGCTAAGTGAAGTTTGGGTATAACAAATCTTTTTGGTTTGTTGAAAACTACTGCTTTTGGTTGTGTAGGGCCTTGAGATTGAACAGCATTTGCAAAGAAATGCACGGATATTAGAGAAAAGACAGGTACAATTCTGAAGTATTATATTGTTCTTTCTCATGACCTCTTTAATTTGTATACTTTGGAGTGCAGGCACTGTATGATGGATTTCTGAGAAATGGATTTTCAGAACTTCAAAAGTTCTACACATATCAAAAGGCTGAAATTATGAAAATATTGGAAGAAGAATCGTTGCAGTTGATCAAAGTTGTTGCAGAGATTCAGGATAAGCTAACTAAAATTTGCATCAACACTGAAGTTAATGAACACCCTGCCGATGAGATTCAATGTTGTGACAGCAGTTGTAAAGATGTGCATGTTACTACAGATATCAGTCCTAGCACATGTCCTAAGGTTTGTACACGTTTATGCTGAGCCTCTTCCTATGTTGTGACAGCAAACTTCTTTTCCCTCTACATTTATGCTGAGCCTCTTCCTATGTTTATTGGCTACAGAAACATATGCTTTGAGGATATTGACAAATTAGTCCATAAATCATAATTGAATGCTCTTACTCCTTAACTTCAGCCTTTCGGCCACTAAGTTAGAATTCTGAATGTGACACTTCAAATGTGTTCGACATTCACAACTGCTAGAGCATAGCATAAACTGGAGCAAATATATGGAAATAGCATGTCTTAGGATCATAAGATGCTAGCTCTGTAAGAAACTGACAAGTGACGACATTTTCTTTTAGGGCAAGCTTTCTAGTCAAATCATCATCAACAACAACAAAAATAACAAAGCCTTTCTAGTCAAATCAAATTAACTGAAAACTGTGTTGACATTAAACACCTCTTTAGCAGTGGGATCTGTATGTCAAGCTGATAATTGATGGATGGATTAATGTGTGATGAATATTCAAATTTGATGGACCAAACACATGTTTCATGGCTTATGTTAAATATTTTAATTTTTTTGGACCTAATCGTGAAAGTAGCATAATCTGAATGTCCTTTACTGCAATTAGTGTTGAATAACCAAGGTAGTATTCCAAAAGGTGGTGTTAGGCGCTCGCCTAGGCGTGTTTAAGCGCTGGGCGGAGGGGCACCACCTCGCCTAGGGGGGGGAGGTGGAGGGATAGGCGACATGCCCCCAGATCCAGAGACACGCTGCCTGAGGGAGGGAGCCGCACGGTCTCCTCTTGTTCTCCCTCGTCCACCTTTGGTCCTGCATCGTTGATGCACATCTGTTTGAAGGGGAGGGGAAGGGAGCAGAACTGCAGCAGGGGAAGGCCTTAGGGTTGTGGCGGCGTGGGGAGCATGCGTGACTGTGCTGTGGCTCGTGGTGGTGTGGGGAGAGTGTTGCGACTGGCCTGCAGCCCCTTACTGTTGGAGTATATTAGGCCCATGAGGCCCATGTATGACCCATATACATTGCTACCCCTCTAGGGTTGGCTTGTAGATGAATACACAGCTTTAGCATGGTATCAAGCTAGGTTTTCTTCTTCTCTTCCTCTTCCTACAGCCGCCGCCGCCGCCGGCCGGCCACTTGCCGCCGCCATGGCTGGCCGCCCTCCCCCTCCCTCCCCCACCTACTTCCAGGCCTTCCCCTCCCTTCCCTACCCCTCCTCCTGGGCCCAGCGCTCCTCCTCCTCTGCCGTCCCCTGCCCCTCTCCAGACGGCCGGGGCCAACTCCGCTCTCGCCGCCGCCCTCGTGGCTGCTCGGGCTGCTGCTGCGGACAGCCAGGCCCGGGTGCGGGCGGCCGCCCTCGTTTTGAGCGCGCCTTGGCGTGTGGCAGCTGCCCCCACAGCCCGCCAGATCGCTGAGGCGGAGCAGCTCCTCGTCCTCCCTACCTCCTACGACACCGCGACCACCTCCTCAAGCTCGACGGGTCACCGCGCGTCTCACACCGCGGTCATCTGGCACGACCCGGCCGACCCACACGTGGCCCGGCTCCCACTACCGGTAGGGGTGTCCGAACATCCGACTCCTCGTCCGTCGTCCTCGAGCTTGAGTCGCCTCTTCGCCCGGCCGAGGGACTGGTCCTCCTTACCCTTCGCCAGCCCTTCGCCCTCGGCGACCACGTCCTAGTCGACGCCTCGGTCGCGCCCGTAACCCCATCGTGGTGCGCCTTGACGCGTCGTCCTCTCTCCCGGATCGTCGGGGCGATCTCCTTGACCTCCACGACCTCGTCGCAACTTCTGCGGCGCTTCGCCGGGCTTAGCTTGCGCCGAGAGGCGATTTACAGGCAATGTAGAAGCCGGGCCCTGCGTCTCGTCGAGCTTCCGCGCCTTCGTCCGGTGACCTCTCCGTTAGCGAGTTCTGCGGCGCATGAAGAGCATGGCGGACTCCCTCGGCGACCTTGGCGGCCCGTGGAGGACCGCGTTCGGTCCTCAACGTCCTCCGCGGGCTCGATGACCGCTTCGCCCCTCTCCGGGCGTGGATCACCCGGCAGAGGCCCTTTCCTCCTTCCTGCGCAGTCCGTGGCGACCTTGTCATGGAGGAGCTCACTCAGGGCGTCCAGCCAGGGTCCACCTCCGCGCCAGGGTCCTCGTCTTCCTCGACTGCCCTGGTCGCTACTCCTCCGGCGCGTTCGTCGTCGCTTCTTGGTTCTCCTCCCCGGGCGAAGCGGGGGGGGGGGCGTGGCGGGCCGCCGCCGTCATGCGAGGAGGACGTGGGGCCGCGGGGGCCACCACACACAGAGTCCCTCACAGGAGCCACCGATCGCCCGCGACTCCACAGTGTCACACCTGCCCTCTTTCCATAACCCGTGGTCGGGGCGCATCTCCATGTGGCCCTTCCCGGCTCCAGGTGGAGAGCCTCGCCCACCAGCGGCCTTGCTCACTGGAGCTCCTCCGGGGTTTCACTCCCCGTCTGCGTGGGCTCCACCTCCCGGTGCATCTTCGTGGGTGACACCTCCCGACACCTCGCCCGGGCCTGTCGGTTGGAACCCAGCGGTCTTGGCCGATCCTTGACACCATGGCCTGACACACTTTCTTGGGTCCCAAGCGGATCGCCGACTCGGGTGCCACTTACCACACTACTCCAGACCCTGGTATACTCTCCTCTATTTACCCTCCTTCTTCCTCTTATCCTTCGTCCATCATGGTCGCGAATGGTTCGTGTCTTCCAGTTACGTCCGTGGGTGCTGCCAGCACTCATGGTTCCTTTCGTCTTCCTGACATTCTTGTTGCACCCTCTATGGTTCACAACCTTCTTTCTATTCGTCGTTTTACAACTGACAATTCCTGTTCCGTTGAATTTGACTCTTCTGGTCTTACTGTCAAGGATTTGGCTTCCCGACGTCCTCTTCTCCGATGTGACAGCACGGGACCCCTTTACACCCTTCGGTTTCGGCGTCTGCTTCCTCGTCGTCGCCGTCTACTTTGTCAGCTGCCTTCGCCGCCACTCCTTCCTCCACCACTTGGCACCGTCGCCTCGGCCATCCTGGACGTGATGCTCTGACGCAGCTTAGTCGCAGTTCCGACATTGGTTGTACTCGGGCTCACGATGAGCACTTGTGTCATGCGTGCCAGCTGGGCCGTCATGTTCGTCTCCCTTTTTGTTCTTCTTCTTCAAATACTACGCATGTGTTTGATCTTGTACACTGCGACCTATGGACATCTCCACATCATCAATTTTACTGGGTATAAATACTATCTTGTGGTGGTTGACGATTTTTCGCATTATTCGTGGACTTTCCCTTTGCGTGCAAAGTCGGATACCTTCACCACTCTTCTCCACTTTTTCGCCTGGGTGTCTACTCAGTTCGGCCTTACCATCAAGGCCGTCCCGATTAGACAATGGCCGTGAGTTCGATAACGGTACCTCCCGTGCCTTCTTCCTCTCTCAAGGTGTCTAGTCATGCATGTCTTGCCCGTATACCTCCTCCCGAGCAGCAAGGCCGGCGCATGATTCGCACCACGAGCGACACCATCGCACCCTTCTGCGCTCCAGCGCCGCTTCTGCTTTCGCTTACAGGGCGGAGAGTCTCACACCTCCACCTATCTCCTTAACCGCCTACCTTCCATTTGCTGCCCGGCTCCCACACCACACCACGCTCTCTTGGTACCCTCCTCGGTATGACCACCTTCGTGTCTTGGTGTGCATGTTACCCTAACACCACTGCCACCGCTCCCCACAAGCTGGCTCCCCGTTCCACTCTGTGTGTCTTCCTTGGGTACTCCCCGGATCACAAGGGGTACCGGTGCTTTGACCTCACCTCCCGTCGGGTCCTCATCTCTCGCCATGTGGTGTTTGATGAGTCTGTCTTCCCCTTCTCCACCACCACCACACCACCTCCCACCCCCGATCCTGACACCTTCTCTATGTTTCCCACTGACACGGTGGTCCAGCCATTTTTCCCGCTGTCTCCTGCAGGTAATGCTTCCCCGTGCCCCTCGCCGGGCCCGTGCCCCCGCTCGCCGCCCACCAGTGACGCCCGCCTGCGCCTACGGTCAGGTCGGGGCGTCACCCTCGGAGTTGCACCTACCCCTCCGTCATGGCATGGTCCGGGGACACCGCTGTCGCACCTCTCTGCGCGTTTACGCCCGGTAGGTGCCCGTCTACCCAGCCGCAGTGTCTTGGCGGCACCACCCTCCCGGTACCACCACCGGGCCCCCTCTCTCCGCCGGCGACCCCTACACCGCCGCCGCCACCTCAAGCTGCCCGTGTCGTGTCGCCGGTGTACCACCCGCCACTCCTTCACCGACACCCGCGGCATGTTCACCCTATGGTGACGCGACACGCGGCTGGTACCCTGCGGCCCCGGGCTCTCGCGACGATGCCCGATGACCCGCAGATCTCTCCTGTACCCTCTTCCGTCCGCGACGCCTTGTCGGACCCTCATTGGCGCCGCGCGATGGAAGAGGAGTACGCGGCTCTCCTCGTCAACCAGACATGGGATCTGGTGCCCCGTCCACCCGGCTCCAACGTCGTCACTGGCAAGTGGATCTGGACACACAAGCGGCGGGCTGATGGTACCCTTGAGAGGTACAAGGCTCGCTGGGTTCTCCGGGGTTTCACCCAGCGCCCTGGAGTTGATTATGATGAGACTTTCGATCCGTGGTGGCCAGCCGCCACCGTCGCCGCGATGCTCTCCACGGCTCTCGATCGATCTTGGCCCGTGCATCACCGGGCGTCAAGAATGCTTTTCTCCACGGGACCCTAACCGAGACAAAGATATCTGCAGCCCGGCCAGTGGGTTTGTTGACTCTTCTTGTCCGGACATGGTCTGCCGGCTCAACAAGTCTCTCTCGGCCTCAGCGGGCCCCGAGGCGTGGTACTCTCGGTTTCTTCGCTTTCCTGCCGACACTTGGGGGGTTTGTGGAGGCCAAGTCGAATCGTCCTGTTTATCTATCATCATGGAGCCGAGGCGCCTATCTGCTGCTTCTCACGTTGATGATATTGTTCTCCTGACCTCCAGTCCGTCCTTACTCGGTAGTGTCATCGCCTCTCTTGAGAGGAGTTTGCTATGAAGGATCTTGGGGTGCTCCACCACTTCCTCGGTGTCACTTGTTGAGCCTCGCCCCACCGGCCTTCTCCTTCACAGGTGACGATACTCTTGATATTACGGAGCGTCTTTGGGATGACTAACTCGCAAGCCTGCTCTACTCCAGTTGACACACAGGCAGCCGTCCGAGGCCGTGGGAACCACCGTGTGGCAGAGACCCCACTCGCTTCTAGGAGTCTTGCAGTGCCGTCGATTACCTCACCTTCACCAGCGCCAGACATCACCTATGCGGTCACGGCGGATATGCCTTCACATGCATGATCCCCGAGAGCCTCACCTCACTGCGCTCAAGCGCCTCCTCCTTACCTCCATGCAGCACTATCGACTCGGACTTACTCCTTGGTGGTCTTCCTCCACCGAGCTCGCTCGTCGCCTACACTGACTTGTGGCCCAGGCGGGTGTCCGGACACTCGGCGCTCTACCTCCGGCTTCTGTTGTCTTTTCTGGCGGCAACTTTGGTGTCTTGGTCGTCCAAGCGCCCGGCCGTGGTCTCCCCTCGATCCAATCTTAGAGGCGGAGTACATGGCTACTGTCGCTAATGGCGTGGTTTGAGGCCTCCTGGCTCGACAGCCTCCTTGCCGAGCTCCACAGCCTCTCTCCCGAGACACGCTGGTTTCTTTGCGACAACGTCGGTCATGTGTACCTCTCCACCAACCCCGTGCAGCACCAACGGACCAAGCATGTGGAGATCGACCTACACTTTGTCCGTGATCGAGTTGCCATCGGCGATGTTCGGGTCCTCCACGTCCCGACCACCTCCCAGTTTGCCGACATCTTCACCAAGGGCCTCCCGTCATCGACCCTTCGGTAATTTCGCTCCGGCCTCAACATCATTAGTGGCTAGTTAAATGCGTGAGGGGCTTGTGTGTGTGCTTCTTTTCATGTCTAGTCTCAGAAACTCCATTGCTGGCCGGTAGTTCGATCTAGATGAAGGGTGTTGGAGTATATTAGGCCCATGAGGCCCATGTATGACCCATATACATTGCTACCCCTCTAGGGTTGGCTTGTAGATGAATACACAGCTTTAGCACTTACTTTTCTAAAACTTCCTTATTATGATTCCCATTACGTGATTCCTTACATTCTGCTCCTTAGAAGTTCTATTTTCTCACAACATACTATTAGATATACTTTTATTTGTTATTTCTCCTCTCATAACCTCCTCTTTGGTACTGTAGCAACAATAATTACACAAACATGTTGGTGTTTAATGATTCATAGTTAGTCAATTACATATACGTAGTACAGACTGATATAAATGCCTAGGCTCTAGGCGAAGGGTCAGCGCCTAGAGAGCGCCGCCGCTCGTGGTGGTGTGGGGAGCACACAAGGCAGCATTGAGTGAGGGAGGGTGGGAGGGCAATTTTGTGATTTGGCCCCTTTTCTAAGAATTCCTGGAAACTTCCTTATTATGATTCCCTTTACTGATTCCTTACATTCTGCTCCCTAGAAGTTCTATTTTCTGACAAGATACTATTAGATATACCTTTATTTGTTATTTCTCTTCTCATAACCTCCTCTTTGGTACTGTAGCAACAACAATTACACACATGTTAGTGTTTAATTCATAGTTAGTCAATTACATTACATATACATAGTACAGGCCGATATAAACGCCTAGGCACGCCTAAACTCTAGGCGGAGGGTCAGCGCCTAGCGTGTTTAGTAATCTTGGCACAAAGGCACATGTTATGTGTTTTTGGTAGCATGTTATAAGCTCACTTAACATGGTGGGCACATGAATGAAGAAAGTGATAGTGGATGAAGATGTGAACTTCTTAGCTCTTTGCTGGGGAATAATTCAGTAGTGTTTCGAGTGCTGAATTAAAAATGGAATTGCTTTAAGCTCTCCTGCGTTTTCAAAAAAAAGAAAAGAAAGGGAAATGCTTTTCCTATTCAGGGATCAGGGTTCTGATATGTACCTACAAATTTATTTACCTTCTTTTCTTTTCCTGAAGAAACACTTCTGATAGATAATCACAGCTTATTGTGGTTGCATATGCTGCAGAGTGATTCTCCTGCTGATCTTAACTCCGTGTCGTTTGATGAATCTAAAGCACTTGCACAAGCCTTACAGGAGAAGGTACCACTTAACTCCAGTGATTCTTTTTGTTTTTGATCCTCATGAATCAATTTCTGATAGCCCTACTTAACTTTCTTTTTCCCAATTTTGTTCGAAAGTTATAGCGAGATTTCTTTTTTGGGGTGGAAAAAGTTCAAATTACTACCTCCAAGTTTGGCCAATGTTCAGATAACCCCATAAACTAACGTTTGGTTCGATTTACTCTCCCCAACTATTTAAGTTGGTCTTGTTTACTCCTTGACAAGATTTGTCCTTTTTGTTTCTCCACGTACAAGTTGAGTTTTAATTTCAAAATTTGTGAGATGATAGCTAACATCATATTTTATGTTAAAATACATTATGAATTTTTTTCACTGGAATTGAATAATCTCACATTACAATGGTGTCCGTTACAGATGGAAGCACTTATGCTCTTCTCACAGGAACAAGAAAGATACCTATTAGAAAAACAGAGAGACCTGATTGTTATCGAGGAACTCCAGAAGAACTTATCTCAAGTATTACCTCTACACTTTCTACTTCTCATTACTTTTCAATCACAACGTACATATTTGAATGATATGACGAGTGTTCTAAATAGTGCAAGTATGGTGCAGTCTCATTTGGCATTGTCATGAAGTTGATACTTCATACCATTACTATTTTGTGCATTTTGCTCCTAGCTGTTGGAAAAGGAAAACTGAACCATATGATTCTTTTCGAAAATATGCACTAAATGACTAGAATTAGTTTTGGACTTGAATTTTTCTTGGGAAATTTGTCAATATATTGTGAACTTGACTATCTACACTGCTAACACTGGTGGTTTGCCAGTAGTATCATCCTTGATTGACAATAATTAGTCGTGTCCTACTCCTTATTTTTAGTTGTGAGTTTCTGTTGCACATCAGCACTCTTGTAGTGTTGGATGGGTGTGTCGCTTGACTAGCTTCATCTTTTTTGTACAGGTTAAAGATGAAAAGGTGAAGATCCTGATGGAATTAGCAATACTGAAAGAACAATATTTGCTATTGAAGGGGTAAGTATTTTCTTCAGTAAGTAATCATGATAACCCAATTTGTTGTTAATGGAGTAATATTTTTAAGGGAATAAAGGGATAGGTTTTTAATTTTAAAAAAAGGGATAGGTTTTTGTAACATTGGTCACAGCATTATCACTATAACAAAGCTTGGTTTTTGTGAAGGGCCTCATAGAAAGCCACATACTAAACAGAACTGTAATAACCTTAATCATATTGAATTAAATTTGGTTGATCTGTAGACTTGTTCCTTTGAGTTTGGTCATTGAGCATGTAAGGACCATTCCGGTGGCCAACTTGGTGTCTTGTACAGGCATAACACCTCCAATTCTTTGCATCAGAAGCAAACATGCAAATATTTAACATATTTTTTGTGGGGGTCCAAACTACACATGTTATTATTGTAATTGTATTATCTTTTCTGCTCAGCAGCTCTGCTGTGAAGGAAGGTCATGATACTGGTGATTCATCTAAAGTCATTCCTGGGCATGACCAACAAGGGATGCTGAAGACTATGCTGAAGAGGACATCTTTAAGACACTGGATGAGAAAAGAAAGTAGTACTATTGGACATGGGAGCTCTGATGGAAATGATCATACAGTTTGCAAAGAGCATTCAGTGGATGTTGCAAGGTTTGTGACATAGATGTATTGTTCTACTTGCACATTGTTCCCTACATTTTGTTTTTGGTCTATAATTCACTAATAATGATTTCAAAATGCTACATTGGAGAATACTAAGTCACGCAGAACTGTCGCTTATTTAGACACCATCACAGATCTCCAAAGAATATTTTGTAATATGTTTTGCAAAATCTGATAAAGAATTCAGACGGCTGGCATTGTGTTAGTCAAAGTTAAAAAAAAAAATGATTGCATCTAGAGATGTTGCTTCGTATTCAGACAAGGATTCTAGACTTATTTTTTTACCCTAAATACCTGTTTGGAAGAGGGGGATTGCTGATTGCTCATGAAACTTCAAGGAATCAATTCATTATTGATCCCAGTGTCCCCTAACTAAAAGTGTTTAGCTTTATTTTCCTGTTGCCTTTTCTCTCCTTCATGTTAAAAGCATCTGATTGAAATTATTGCTGTTAAAAATACAATGATTGGAACATGTAGATGCATAGCAAAATGTTACGAGAAACTTGGTGGAATAAACATTGGCAAAAGAACTCTTTTTGGTTTTTTTCCTGACTATTAAGATGTGATGGCATATTAAACTAGTAACACAAACTTCTCTTTTCAAGCACATGCATTTCACACTAATTTTTCTGTTTCATGCTACTGCATTGCAGGTTAAGAGTTGAAAATGCTACGCTTCTTGAAGGTGTTGGTACTGTTGAGCGTCTCACTTCTTCAGTGCATAGACTGCATATTGTGCTTTTGAAGGTATGCTATTTGAACTGACAGATGCACTTGTTATCATGGGAAGAATTTTTTTCGAAAGCAATGCATGAATGATGCATAATATTTGCTAGATAAAAACTTAGCTACCTCACTGTACAATGGGCCTATCTGCTTCTGATTTTTGGAAGGGTGAGTGTCGTGTCGGAGGGGTATTATTCTATCCTTCTATTAACTGTGGTCTGTTAAGACTTAAGATGTGTTGACTGGAAATGAGAAATTGCATTTGGCTGAGAACAATCTGAACTGATTGTTTCCACATGCTAGGTGATTTTTAAGATACACTCACTCCACCCACCTACACACCCTCGCACCACCCTCATTGCACTTTATCCTCCATTAGTGAAACTTGGTGTCACCATACAGTTTAGTAGTTTGCTGTCAAATCCAGTTGGTAGGTCATAAAGTTCCCCAAAGTGTCTGCTCTACTTTCAAGTACCGAAAACAAGAGACGGGTTCCTACCCAACTCTTAGAAGAGATAGGCCATTGTGCCTTTACAGTCAGCTCAACTTAGGATGTGTTTGGTTTGAGGAATGTGACTGCAAAATTCACTCCTCACTTCTGTGTTTGGTTTATGGAATATAATGGGTTGATCTCAATCCATCATCTCATCTCTCACAAGCTAACAATTAGTATAAGAATGAGGATGGAATTATTCCACCAAAATTCATGGGATGAATTATGACTCCACCTCATATAGGATGGGGTGGTTTCTCAAACCAAACAACAACAACAACAACAACAAAGCCTTTAAGTCCCAAACAAGTTGGGGTAGGCTAGAGTTGAAACCCAGCAGAAGCAATCAAGGTTCAGACACGTGAATAGCTGTTGGTTTCTCAAACCAAACACCCTCTTAAGTCTTAACCTACCTTTCTTAGAGCCCACTTGTTCCTCTACAGAGACCATTTGCTCACTTTTGAAGTCATTGTGCCCAAGCTTCATGCTGAGCAATATTTGTCATGATGTGCACACTGGCTGGCAAAAGGAAGTCGATCTTGTCTTATGGACTGTGATGTGGGGGCGCCAATATGAATGGCGTCCCAGGGCTCGGGATGTGGCCAGAAGGGCCAGGGCGGCATCCAAGGAGGCACCAGCTGTAATCAGTAGCAATTAAGTATTATGGGGAAGAGATTAGAGTAATCAGAGAATGATTAATGGGGAGAGAAACGAGGAGACCAGAGCTATGCGCCTAGGGGCTGGGCTGCTCTATATATACTCTGTAATCAGCTTATGAGGAATCAATGAAGAAACAAGTTATCTCCTAATCTACCTCTGCTCCTCTTAATCTCACCCCCTTCACCATAGGGCGTCCAGGGAACCCTCCTGGCGCCATTACCCAATCAAGCTACGAACTCTGGAGTCGGGGACCTGCTGTCTTGGGCACCAACGCCCTTGACAACCTGGTATCGGCTTCCAGGCGTTCTTCCTCCGCTGCACCACCGCCAGCCCACCCAGCCGCCGCCACTCCATCTGTTCCTACCTCACCTTCATCCTCCACCGCCTCCATATCATCACCCATGGCCGAGCCAACAACAGCAGATTTGGCCAAACTCATCCAAACCCTCACTGCCTCCATCAGTGATCTGCAAGGGCAGGTTGCCGCCCTTCAGTAGGAGCGACCAGCGGCGACGTCCTTCTCGAGCTCCAGGGGTTCGGGCCATGGTGACAACCATGGTGACCGCTCACCCAGGTTCCAGAAGCTGGACTTTCCCAAGTTCGACGGCAAGTCCGATCCGCTGGCCTTCCTCAACCGTTGAGTCCTATTTTCACCAACAGCGCATTGCGACGGAAGAACAAGTGTGGATGGCGTCATACAACCTGGAGGCTGGCGCCCAGATGTGGTACCTCCAGGTGCAGCAAGATGAGGGCACTACATCCTGGCGGCGTTTCTCTGAACTGTTGAACCTCCGCTTCGGTCCGTCGATCCGGTCCAATCCGCTGGGCGAACTCATGGCGTACAAGCGAATCGGCTCCGTCTCCGAGTATCAGGACCGGTTCGAGGCTCTGCTGCACCACGTCGGCGCGCTGACGGAGGCTCAGCGCGTCCAGGCCTTCACGGCCGGACTCCGGCCACCACTCATCCTCGACGTCGAGATCCACAACCCCAGTCCCTCATCGTCGCCATGAGCCTCGCGGCGCTTCCGGCCCCTCCGGCCAAGGCTGGGCCTTCCATGGTCTTAGTCGAGGGTTGTCAGGTAAAGCGTCTTTCGCAGACTGAGATGGAGGAGCGTCGTCGCCTCGGCCTATGCTTCAACTGCAATGAAAAGTTTGGCCAGGGCCACAACCACGTCTGCCAGCGTATCTTCCTCAACTTGGCTGTAGATGATGAAGCCGACGACGTCCAGGACGGGGAGTTCGTGGCAGCAACTGAGGCGGCCAATCCGCACATCTCGTTGCTCGCCATGGCTAGGGTCCGCACCAACGACACCATGCAAGTGCGCATCCAGCTGGGCGGTGCCTTCCTCCTCGCGCTCATCGACTCCGGCTCAACTCAACTTCGTCTCCGAAGAAGACGCGGCCCGCACTTCACTCCAGCTCCTTCTCCGCAGCAACATGAAGGTGACGGTGGCCAACAGGGAGCGCGTGCCGTGCCCTGGGTACCGCGCCACTGCCTTCTCCATCGACGGCGAGTCCTTCTACACCGACTTCTTTGCCTTGCCACTGGCCGGCTATGACGTCGTCCTCGGTACACATTGACTGGCCTCCCTCGGGCCGATTCTCTAGGACTTCGGCGCACTCACCATGTCGTTCTGGCACCAGGACCATCACGTCTGCATGCAGGGCATCGCCGGGACAGCCAGCACCGCCGACCTTCTTCCGGCCTTGCTGGACGAGTTCAGCTCCATCTTCGCCGAGCCCACCGGCATGCCGCCACCATGATCCCGGGACCACTACATCAACCTCGTCCCGGGGTCCACGCCGGTGGCCGTCCAGTGACGGACCTAGGTTTTTACCTCTGGGTATGCGCAGCAAAAAAAATTCTTATGCAATTCGGTAAATCATATATAATTTGGTAAAACTATATTCTCATTCGGTAAAACCATATTCTAAAACCATATAAATTGTTCAAATCAAATACAAAATACTTTAAAATATAGCCATATAAGAGACTTACAATATTACTTGTTGATCCGTCGCTTTCTCAATGACATGAATGTCTCAATTATATCATCTTCGTCAACTTGAAAGAAAATATCCCGCTCAATAAATGTTTGTAGACAATCATCCAGAACAATATCACCTAGCTTATTCCTTGATTTTGTTTTCACTATAACCAATGCGAAAAATACCCTTTCAACGCTTCATAGCCACACCGGTAAAAAAAGCAATACCAATTTGAGAAGCAAGTACACCATATCATACACTTTGTGCCTATTTGTATCAACAAGCTTAACTGAGAGATCAACAATGTTGTCTAGACCTTGGAAGCATTCAGTTCGTTTCATGTCATCAATATAATTATCAAGTTGCAATTCTAGCTGTACCAAATTGTTGTTGGAGAAGTCATTAGGATAAAATTCAGCCAATCTACGCAGCTTACATGCATCAAATGAAGCAAAGGACTTGGAAGGACTAAATGCTGACATACAAGAGAGCAGCTCCATGTTGATCTCATCAAACCGATTATTAAGCTCTTGACTAATTTGATCAATGACACCAATGTACACTTCTCTTCTAAAATGGTCATCATTTTTTTGGTTTCGGGCACGGGCATACCTTGCTGATTTTCCATAAGGCACATAAGCATCATCCATAGCAGAACTTGACACCATGTGTAATACAAAAAGAAGTGACCGTCTTATGAAATTTATCCCAACCATCGACTCAATCATTTGCATTCTCGCTCTTTGCCACATTAACAAGTGAGATTGCATTAAGAATATCTTGATCCCTTCTCTGCAAACACTGGATAACTCATTTGTGTATCCAAGAATAACATACATTAAGTGCACAAAGAAAACAAACTCAAAGGTTTCAAATGCTCCAAGCACAAAATGAATCTTTGTCCAATCATCCTTATATGCAATATCAAGACCAAGCTCAATGAGCACATCATGAATTGAGGAATACATAGTGATGATGCTACATATAGTTTTGTAATGCGAGCCCCACCGAGTATCACCAGGCCTAGGCAAACCCATCTCTTGATTTAAACCACTCCCTGATTCAAGCTCACCACACTGTAGTGATTTCTTGACATTCTCCAGCCTAGCATTTCGAAGCATACCATGACGCTTGCAAGAAACTCCAATAATGTTCAACAAGATAGATACTTGATCAAAAAAGGTCTTGCAATTAGTATTTCCCTTGGCAACAGCTACAAGAACTAGTTGGAGTTGATGTGCAAAGCAATGAATATAATAAGCAGAAGGTGATTCTTTCATGATTAATGTTTTCAGCCCTTTAATATCACCTTTCATATTGCTAGCCCCATCATAACCTTGACCTCTAATCCGAGTCATACTCAATCCATTACTATCAAGTAAACCTTTAATTGCTTCCTTAAGTGACAAAGACGTAGTATCATCTACATGAACAACTCCAATGAAGTGCTCGCATGGCCTTCCAAGTTTATCAACAAAACGCAAGCAAAGAGCTAGTTGTTCTTTATGTGATATGTCACTAGACTCATCGGCTAAAATTGCAAAGGGCTCATCACCAAGTTCCTCAATTATTTTCTTTCTAGTTTCTATGGCACAACAATGAATAATTTGCTTTTGTATCTTTGGGCTAGTCAAAGTGCAATTACCTGGTGCATTGTTCAAGACATACTTGTTCACTTCATCACTATTTCCTGCAAGAAACTTCAAAAGTTCAATGAAGTTGCCTCTGTTGCTAGACTCTTCACTTTCATCATTTCCACGGAATGCCAATCCTTGAAGCAAAAGAAATTTGATACATCTAAGTGAATATGTCAATCTTTTCTTGTAAAGACGAAGCTCCTCATCAGTCCACTTATCAATGTGATAATCAATTGCTACCT